CGGACTTGGGACAGAGTGGGAGCCTGTCCTGGGCCCCAGAGCCTAGGTTTTCCAGGTGTCTGATATTGGCCTGGACAGTCCGATATTTGCAGCTTTTGTCCGGTAAAAACCCCCAGAAAATACCGGACATGTTAAATGTCTGGTATTTTTTTGTTTCTCGGACGGAAGGCCGCTTGGGACATTCTTTCTCTGCCGCATCTGGTGTGGGTAGGCGGAGTGTGGAGGATTTAAAGGTGCTGCGACTTTTTTGTGTGTGTGCATTTATTTATTTATTTGCTCAACATGTTTGGTATTTTTTGTGAAACCATCTGGCAACTCTACCAGAGCCTCACAGGAATGGCCCTGACTTTGAGTTTGGCTCCTCTGTCTGGGGCAATGGGAGTTTGTCTCCTCTGTCATATAGGCTTAGGCTTTGGTTCCCCCTCCTGGGATCATGTTGTAATTTTACTTATTAAGATGCTGTGGTGTAATGAAGTTTGGGTCTCTGGTGTATCTGTGCAGGCAGAGAGAGTTCTGAATTAAATGCAAACCTTGTTTGCTAGAAACATATTGAAGGCTCCCCCACCCTCACTCTAGGGCAGGGCCAAACACAAAACTTTGCAAATCAAAAGATCAAAACTAGCAGAAACCTTGACATCCTTACAGAATGCAGAGATCTGCTGACATCATTGAATTATTTTACATTGTATATTTCAGAAAGATAGAATTTGCCTCAGGAAATTTTTTATAGGCAGTTCTGCTAATATGCAATAACTGTGCTTACTATAAATCCTTAAGAAAAATGTATGAGAAATAGGTACTGTTCATGATTCTCCAGTTCTCCTAACTATATTTGTGTTAAATATTTCTGTGTTAAATATTTTAGATTTTATTTTAATTAAAGTTTGATAAGAAAGTTTAAAGGTGGTTTTATTTGCAGAAGCACAACAAATGTATCTCAAACCATAAATCTATTCTTCTGGCCATTCTGATGTTAAAAAAACCCAACCTCTCCCACGTTTTAAAAAAAGTGGTAATTATTTTCTAAACCTGCACATGTAATATATTAGACCCTAGCAACTTTTAAAAATTAATGTGAAAACAGGTGTTTATAATGAATCAAACATACTTTAATTACATTGCCAGGTGCTATTGAAACATTCTTTTGAGTCTAAGGGATGTGTTGATCATACTGATAACATTCTAAATGAGGTGGGATAAGGAAGTATGACTTCTAGCTAGGCATCCTCCGCAATGACCTCAGCAGTTCTGACAAACTAAATGGGGTTAAGTAAGGTCAGTACTTGAAATGGGAGAGCTGGGGGCTTTTGGGAGGAGAGGTGGGAAGGGAAGAAAGAACAGGTGCTTTGGTCAGGAATGTTGGTACTGTTTGATTAAACCAGTTCCCTAGAGGTGCTGTTCCAGTTACTGAAGTGAATTGCTTCCCTGCAGTACATGAGTTACTCTCATTGAACTCAGTGTTGATCTTCATCTCTTGTTTTAGTTTCTAATATAACAGGGGTTGGCAAAAGCCACTCAGTAGGCTGGATTCAGCCTACCTAGGGCTTAGATCTGGCCCACCCAGCTGTTCCAGCTTCTGTCCCCTAGCGCATTGCCTAGGAGCCGGAGCCATGTGAGCCCATTCAGCTGCTTCTATTTAAAGGGCTCGTGCCTTCCTCGTGCCTGTCAGGCAACGTGTTTAAATAGAAGCAGTTGAAAGGGCTCACGCCTCTCCGGCTCCCAGGCAATGCACTAGCGGCACCGGAGCTGCGAGCCCTTTTAACTGTTTCTATTTAAAGGGCTTGCCTGAGCCTTTTAAATAGAAGCTGGTAAAAGGGTTCACAGCTCCCGCCCACTGCTAACACATTCTCTGGGGGCCACACGAGAGCCCTTTTAACTGTTTCTAGTTAAAGGGCTCACGCCTTCCCCACGGCTCCCAAGCAACATGTTAGTGGCGCCAGAGCTGCGAGCCCTTTTAACTGCTTCTGTTTAAAGAGATCGTGCCTCTTGGGCAGCTGCGTTGCCTGGCAGCCACCCAGCAGGCACAAGCCCTTTAAATAGAAGCAATTGCAAGGGCTCACAGTTCCAGCCCCACACTAGTCCATTGCCTGGGAGCCAGGGACACGGAAGCCCTTTCAACTACTTCTATTTAAAGGGCTCGCACCTTCTCCCATGGCTGTCAGGCAACAGCGTCCCTGGTTCCCAGGCAGTGTGCTAGCAGTGAGGCTGGAAGCAGCAAGCCCTTTCAGCTCTTGGTATGTAAAGGCTCCGCCCCTTCCCTCCGAGGCCCTGCCCCTTCTGGGGCGGCCTGCGACCACTTCAAAAATTTTTGAAGTGGCCCCCACTCAAAAATTATTGCCCAGCCCTGTAATAGGAAATAATAGCAGAATGCTGATTAGGAGAAAAAGCTTTGTTTTTTCTTAAATATGATGGGAGGGTTGTCAATGAAAAGAACAAACTCAATGCATTAAACAAAAATACCAAAAAACTTCAGAGTTACAAAAATTGGCAGGTGAATTGAAATTATCACTAAGTATTAGATATAAGTTAGTGAATCTTAACCTGTTTAATTTTTAAATGGACATATTTACAGAGGGGAAATATTACTCTACTATTCAAATTTGATAAATAGCGATGCTTGTTTGGCTCCAGGGATGTTTGTTTGAATTGGGCTACATGCTTTAGTTGTAGTTCCCCTCCCAGGCTGTGATCTGGAAGAGAGTGGAATCAGGTTTGGTGTGAGGGACTTGGGCATTATTCTGGGAACTGAAGCAGGAGATGCAGCCTCCGTAAGAGAACAGTTCCATGATTCTTTAGCTTAGGATCAGGGTAGGTCAGTGTTGCACCCTGATCTCTCTTCCCATGCACTAAAGACATAGCAACTTCAGGAGCTGTCACAACCACAGAACCATTCCTCTGCTATTTCACAACTAGCAAGGGCAAAGGGGAAAAGATAATGGTTTGACATTGGTATGCTCTGGCTGCACTCAGTAGCTTTGGTGACATAATGCAGCCATAATCTTTTAACTAGCAGCCAGCGTGTACCAGAATATCTGGTTTACCACTTCCCCTGGACAGCATGTTACTTGGACCTTGCTTTGTGAGGAGTATTTTGCCCTTAATGATTATGGGCTAGAAACTGTATGCATTTAGTTGCCACTGATTCAGATGAAAATATCTCCCAGACCATATTTTCCAGTTCATAGCTCATGTAAAGAAATTAAAGATTTAGTAGAAGCTATATATCTGCAAGTCTTCTCCTCAGGCATTTGGAATCTCAAAGCACATCCTTGTCTCCCTCTATTGGGGATGGGGAGATGATGCTTTTTTCATGGTGTAGCTTAAAAGGTTTGTGTTGTCATGACTGGCTGAGTCAATGCTGCTCAGCTTCCTTTCCTCAGTGGAGAAATAATTCCTACCTGCCAGCTTCTCCAGGGTTTCCCCTCTCAGGAACCCATAAATCATAGCTAGAATTTATGGCAGAATTCACTTTGTAGCTTGGAGCTTATATGGGGCATTAGTTGGCTGATTTTCAGCATACCCTGAACATTTTGTAAAGATGGCAGTGGTTTGTCCAGTGCAGAAAATCCAGCACAATTGTGCTGTACTAAAGAGCTTTCCTATCAAGCTCTGAAGGGCTTGGATAGCCTATCAAAGTGTTACATTTCTTTGCATTAAAGTCTACTTTTAAAATACTTTTAAGATTGATACATATTTTACTCATGTTTTATATGAATGCCATCACCACAATCAACATGCTATTAATAAACTGAAACTACCTAATATTTTAGAGGTTGAGTTAAATGTTGTAGAAGCAATAAAAACAAAGGACAATGGAAACAGCATAAAATAGTAAATGGAAGAAACAGGCTTGGAATATGTGGAGTTACTCAGTGCTCTGCCAATAAACATAGGCAGTTTTTCCATTTCCAATATGTAAAATTAAGAACAGCCTACTGTCTTGGAGGCTATTGTTCAGATTTAACTTCTGCAGATGAACTTGTTTATGTAACAGCTTACTGTGGTGATGAGACAAATGTTTTAGTTTCCTATTAAAAAAAATATTGCCTTACCATTGTCACAAGACTGCTAAAGACACTTTATATGTTTTAGGGAACTAATATCAGTAAGTGTAATGGACAATAGTTTATTGTAAGTTTAGAGACACAAAAATGTTCTGCCTTTCTAAAAGCATTAAACATTCTGTAAATGTGCCATTTTCCCTGTTAGTAGTAGAAAATTAACCATAAAAAAAACTTAGTTGCACAATCCCTTCATCCTCAAACTAGGGGAACACATTTATAAAGAATGCCATCTATTTATTAACCAGAGCATAGATTATAGATCAGGCTCTAAAACTAGAGTGTGCTTTTTCTTTAACACTATATTAAACTTTTGAATGTTCTGAATACAGACAGTCATAAGTATGAGATTCCCTGTGTAATTCTAAAATGAGGCCTTCACTTTACCAGATGCACAGTGAACATACTTCCTGTTAGAAATGAGCCACTTTTAAATGTCATGCCAAGAAATAAAGATTCAAAGCTTACAAAGAATTTTCTGGTAAAAGCTTAAACATTTTTTTTTATTAAAGCACAGTTGTATCTGCTATCTTTAGGATTGCCAAGTGTCCAGTTTTGAACCGTACAGTCTAATATTTGAGCTTTCTGTTCAGGAAACAAATTGAGAAAATATAAATGAGAAACTATAAATGTCCGGTATTTTCTAAATAAGGTATAATGTAGATTGTGATGTAATGTCAAGTGTGCCTGGTATTTTTGCTGAAACCAGCTGGCAACCTTAACTATCTTGAGCAAAATAACAGGGTGATACATACACACTAACTTAATATTACCGCATCACTGAAGTTAATTGTTCAGTGTTCTGTGTTAATTGTTTTGGACAGCTGTTTTTTAAAGATATATGATATCAATGACACCCCAAACTCTTAGTCAACTATTTGTTATGCATTACAAGTGTCACAAAATGCAAGACTTAATTCCTTTTTCTTTAATTTACAGGCTTGTTCTGGCTGTGGAAAATGTGACTGCAGTGGAGTAAAAGGGCAAAAAGTGAGTATAAACTGTACCTGTCTAATTTTTTTACTTATACTGACAAAACCATAGAAATAATTGGAAGACAAATGAGATGCAGTTAGACATGGATCCACTGCAGCATCATTAGTGCATAGATTTGCAATAGTGTAGCTCGTCTTAAGTCCACATTATGATAGCTTCAGGTTTGCATGGCACAGAGCTTAGATCTGTTAAGAAAAATGGTGAAAATAAAACTTTTTAAAAGTGAGGGAAATTAAATATTAACTTTTAAATACATTAACACAATTTTTAGGACAGATAATCCTTAAATGCATACTTTCATGAACATGTGCTATTTTTAGGGAACCAGATTCCCAGATTCTAGGAGTTCCATACAGGTGAAAACTACAGAAAGCTTTTTTCCTTATAATTTTTATGTAAATCTTTACGGCTGAGTGAACATGCAGTATGTATCTCATGAGAAGCTCTCTCTAAGCTGCATGGCAGCACAGCTTTAGAGGTGATCAATTAGTCCCACCCAATCAGAGGCTCAGGGCTCCATGCATGGCGCTAGGGTTGCCAGGTAGACCCTGCCAAAAAAAAGGAAACACTTGATCGTGGGGGGGGATTGGCCGGGAGGGGGATGGGGCAGGAAGCAGAGC